ATTAAAAAGTTTTATATTTTAAATTCAAAATTTAAAAAAATTTTTATTATTAAAATTTTATATATTTTAATTAAAAGTTAATATAATTTATATTTTTATAATAGGACCTGTGGATCCATAGTATAGTGATAATGCTTCCAGGTCATCAAATATTGTTTCCAAGTTCAATATCACTGTAAGGTAGTACCATCTAAAGCCTAGGTGATATAAGAAGATTTTATTCATTCCATGATAATGATCTAATCACTTTTGGCTAAAATCTCATTTGATTATGGAACATCCAAAGATCACAAGATACTTTAGCTAATTTTAGCACTGAAAGCCATCTCGTCACAAGACAGGTTTTATAAGCTCCTGCAGATCTGCTGGCCATAAAAATCCAGCTATTAATGGAGCTTAGGCATATTAGTTAAAAGAGGGTCTCTACCAATTGAGATCTGTCTACGACTCTACATGATCTTCTTATAGGTAGTTCATAATAGGTCATATAAAAAAGATTTTCAACAGAACAAGACAATATCTAAGACTTCATGTGGGTACTCTATAGGTATATTGTAATAGATATTGTAAAAAGAATACCAAGTGAAATGAGATATAAAAGGTGGTCCTGTACCTTGATCCAAAGGTATAAACTGGAAAAAGGCACAGATGTAGAAAGGTGGATAGTAGTGCTTTCTTTGACAACAAGCTATATAGGTGTTAATAGTGGTTTCAGGAATACTTGTTGCAAATACAGATTTATCACTTATTTAAGTTATAGAGTTACTAGTAATAAAATATATATAAGTTGAATAAAGTACAGAGTATAGTACTATGTAAAATGTATTTACAGTACTCTGCAGTTTTATTATAATAAATTGGTTTCATTAATCCATTAAAAACATATATATATTTTTATAACTAAAAGTCAATGTTCTTATAACTAAAAGTCAACCTGACTTATGTCTCTACTTTTGTCCCTACCAACTACTTTAAAGACTTATCTTTAATTGCAGATAAATAAAAAATCACTACTCAAAGAAGGTTGGAACCAAATATGTCCTGAAAGTAATGATGGATCTCTAAAATATTTAGCTATAAATTTTTGAAGATCACTTATATTCCTTTTTGCAAAACAAAATTTATAGCTTTTTATTTTAATAAGGACAAAAGTTAGAAAATACTATAAATCAATGATTTGAATAATAGAAAACAATTGTAGGTAGTTTTTTTATAGTTATTAATTTAAAATTTTTAATGTTTTCAAGTAAGGGACATTTGACTTTTGTCTCTGTCTCTAAAGATGGATCCTTAAAAGGGAAACAAAGACAAAAGTCAAAAATCATTCACTAGGAAAAATTAAAAATTTTAAATTAATAACTATAAAAAAACTATCTACAATTGTTTTCTATTATTCAAATCATTGATTTATAGTATTTTCTAACTTTTGTCTCTATTAAAGTGAAAAGCTATAAATTTTGTCTCTCAAAAAGAAACATAAATAATCTACAAAATTTTATATATTAAATACTACTTTAGAGATCCATAATTACCTGCCTTCTCCTTTAGGAATCCATCTTTATTTGAAAGTAAAGGCTCCCACTAGATAATAAGTCTTCTCAAATAGTATATAAGAAGAAAATCAAGATCAAGAATAGTTAAGTTTCTCAGATAGTCAGGAAAATAAAGGATATTTCAATTAAATATTTTATATTGAGAAGAGATCTTGAGAAGCAGGTCTTTAAAGAAAGCTAGAAATTTTTTTTTTAACTTTTACTTTTTTATTTCTTGTTGTCTATTTAGATATTTTTAAATATTTCCTTTCTTTTTTTTCAACCCATCTTTTTATAGTTTCCTGTATAATAAAACATATATAACTAGCATAATAAAGGATTTAAAAAAAAAGTATTAAATGTAAGTTAAATAAAAACTTTTTTTACTGATTCTTTAACTACATATAAAAAAAATATTCCAAAAAGTTTTTATACTTTTTTATTAATAAAGTTTTAATATTTTCATTTTAACAACTTGAAGTATAACTTCAAAAGTTGTTTTTATACTTTTTTTCTTGTTTACAAATTCCTTTATTCAAAAACTTGACTTTTAAAGATCAAGAAAAGTTCAATAATATATTTGATATTAATGATAAAAAAGATTTCAAAAAAAAAAGAAGTAATTATAAATAATCTGAAGATCTTTTTAATCTTTTAAGTAAAAGGTTATAAAAATTTTGTTATAGTATAAAAGTTTATTTTCTTTCCTTTTAACAGTTTAGGTTTTCTTAGAACATTTATTTTTACAGTTTTTTAAAGAATTTTGCCTACTTCAGTTTGATTCTGAATTTTGAATAACACAAATCCTTATTAAAGGTGATTAATTGATATAAGATAGGATAGTTTTTAAAATATAAATAAGCTTTTATTGATTATATTTATATATTTAGATAATATTATTAATGATTAGAAAAAAAGTCTATAAAAAAGTACTTTTTAATTGAGCAAGTTCTCAAAAAAGATAGTTATAATATTAAAAGGCAAGTAAAAAATATAAAACATAGTATCCTTATTTTTTAACAAGTTCCTTAGGTGGTAAGAAGACTTTTTAAAAAAAAACTGAGATCTTCAAGTTTTTATTCTGATCAAGAAAAGTTTTTGCAAAGATTTTTTTATTCTGATTAGACTAATTCTACTGTAATATAATATGATATTAATAGTGCAATATGCAAATCTATATATCAGTAGAAGGTTAAGTTTTTCAAATATTTTTTTTAAAGTTTCCATACTTAAAAATGGTTAAATTTCTCAAATGGTCTAAAATTTAACTAATATTTTAATAAGACAGATTCTTTTTAAGAAAAGACTATTTATTTGAATAAAAATCTTTTGAAGAACTTTAAATTGTTTTTTTTTCCTTTTTCAGTATATAATTAAACAATTTATTGTTTTTAAAAGAGATACATGAAGACAAGTTTCAAGTTGTTTTAATGAAAGTGTAAAGACTTTATTAGTAAAGAAGTATAAAACTTCTTGCGAACATCTTTTTTTTTTGTATGTGGTCAGAGGATCCGCGGAAAGAGTAGTTTTGATCAAAATTAATTTTTTAAAAAAATATATGAAATAGAATAAGTATTAAGATATAATATATATAAATTATATAATTTTTGAATATATAATTAATAATTTAAAAATTGGCAAAGTTGAAATTTATAATAAAAATATAATAAGTTAATTCAAACTTTTGAAAGCAACTATATATAATATATTTCTAGATTATATAATAATTATAAAAAGCTTTAAAGTAATCTATTATATATTATTAATTGTTTATTATTATTATTTTTAAATTTTAAATTTTATAATTTTGAATTTTGATTGATTTATTAATTGAAACCAATACTTTATAGAATTTTTTCTAATATATAAAAAAATATATTATTATTTATTAATTTAATTTAAAGTTAAATAAATTGACATTAAACTTAGTTTATTATAATTTAATTTTTATATTTGATTTGTTCTTTTTTTTAAAGTTTTGATAAAGTTAAAATAATATTAATAGATTTTATAAAAACTTATTTAGTTTATATAAACATATAATACCTTTTATTGTATCTTATAGTATTTATTTGAAATAAAGATATAAAATTTTCCTTGATTTTGTTTTTTTTAATAATCCTATTTTTAATAAATAATATATAAAAAATGAATTACAATTTTTATTATTTTATTGAACGGAAAATTGTAAAAATAACATTGAAATAGTAGAAGAAACGCTTGCATAAATTACATAATTACAAAGCATCAGGAATTGTAAATGTGTAAGCTGAGGTTTATAACAGATCGATTGAATTTGTCTATCGTGTTGTGCATTGTTATGCAAGCCCTAGCTTTATTAGCATTGGAGTAATGCACTCTAACGTCCTTTTTTTCTAGGTTCAAGTCGGCTGCACAATTTGTCTAATAGTACATTGTTTTATAAATCAAAAAAATAATATTCATTCTGAAGAATTATTTGTCTGTTCCCAACGATCAAGGCTTTCGTCGATCTCTGTCACAGTTACACTCTTTCCTTTTCCTTTTTTATTTCTAAAATCGTCGTTATTTTGATTCTCTGATGTGGTTACTCCTGAATTGCTATTATTCACATTCTCGGTATTATTTTCGGTAACATTTGGAGAAGTATTACCATTTGTTGACGCAGTCGGTATTTCAACTGTAGGAATTTGAGGAAGTGCACTCAAAACCTGAGTCAGTACACTGATGATATTGTAGATCTGCCCTTGAGTATCCTGCAATATTCTAAGTCTTTCCGCAAGTGCCTCCCGTGAGGTAGTTTCCAGAAGACGAATTTGTTCTTCAGATAAATTATTTAATGATGATGAAATATGATTACCATCTACATTCGTGGTGCCATTATTTCGTATGGGCAGAATTGGGAAAAGAGGTATTAAGCCGGGCGGAAGTTGACTAGAAAGTTGTGAAATGTTTGGCTGACTTATTGGTTGTTGCGTAGAAGAAAATGTCCGAGATGACGCGATGTTTTGATCCCAAGACCACCTAGGCGCCGTGGACGTAGATGAACTTGTGGAAGATTGTGAACGTGATGTAGTAGCAGCCTCATCCTACATTTAATTAAAATCCATTTAGTAATAAGGTATTTGTAAACATTTTTAATATATACACTCATAATAACCTCATTTGATGTCCGATCTCCTGAATTTGTAGTATGGGACGAACTATTCTGTGAAGTATTCTGTTGAGTATTTTGGTTTGTTGGTGTGTTCGCTTGATCATCTACGTTACGGTCGTTTAAGTTTGCATGTGGAATCGGAGGACCAGGCCATGGACCTTGTACTCCTGGGAGAGGAAATATTGTTACAGGCGGAAAACCCGGAATTGGATTTGCTAAGAAACCCGGTGGATTAACAAAAGGAATCCCAGGTAACTGGGGTTGAGGTTGTTGAGCGTTACGCTGAACTGGGCCAGGACGCGCCTGTGGTTGGGGTTGGGTGGTTTGTTCTTTTTTTTTTTTTTTTTATGGCAATTAAATTAACAACCGAATCAAAAATTATTGTAATTAATTATTAACAATGTCACACTTACGTTCTGACAAAACGGGTCTTCGACTAAAAATATAGATTACGATGTTTAATTTTAAATGCACATATAATGTATTACAAAAAAAATGAATTATAAGATTCCTACCATGTTGGACAACTCTGTTGTCTTTCCAACCAGCTGCGCAAACAATGAAAATGAAAAATGTGACCACATGGCAACCTTTTTGGAACATCACCTAAACCATTATTCCCCGGTCTGGCCTGTTGTGGTCTATTTCCGGCAATATCTTCTATTGCAATATTATCATTGTTATTTAAGTTTGGAGCTATCATTTCCTCTCGACAAATAATACATGTTCGATCACTTAATCGTTCTAGTTCTTCATTGGTTGCGTTCGGGTAACGTTCATTCATGTTTCTAGTAGCACGACGATACCGAACAAGATCACCGCATTTTTGGAGAAAAGAACGAAATGTGACGTAAACGTCACGTATAATGTGTAGAGGTATTCCATAGTACGTAAGTATTATTACAAAAAATATCAGATAGGTAATCAATTTAAAGAAATCTATAATCGTAAGGTGTAGTATAATGTAAAGGAATTATGTAAATAAAACTAGATACAATAGTGAAACAATAAAAGTCAGAAATCGTTACCAGTCACGAGTTCCAAATAAAAAACGTATGTTGATTTATTTTCCCATGGTTCTTCTCGCCTCGTATCAATTATATTCAAAATATATTTGCAAATAGTAGATATTATGGTAGCTCCCAGGATAGAATACTGTTGCAAATATAAGTAGATAATTAAAAAAATGTTCAAATTAATATAGAATTACCAAATATAAAGACCCACTTCAAACGCAAACATAATCATCATATTCGGTCCAAATTTCATGATGGCATCAACAGCATTATGAACGAGAATAGCGTCAACAACGCATAGTATCTCCATAAGTGAAACCATTCGCACATGAAACGATATTGAAACCACCGGTGATTGTTCCATCTAAAATCAAAGGTGAAAATTAGATACTTAAAATAATTTGATAAAAAAATTTAAATAATATCCTTGCTTACGAATTCCACCCGATCCTGACATAACCAATGAAAGATTTTTAAGAATAATAGAGTAGTAAATGTCACGACAAATCTAGTGTCAAATTCGTCCCGGAATATGGTCATGGCTAAGCATGTTTCCGTTACTGCATACCAAGACCTTTCATATAAATGCTTATAAAGATTTAATTTTACTTGGTGAACAATGAATTATAACAATTTTATGAAGTTTGACAAGTACGACTAAAAGATAGATACCTCTATCTCAACAGCGCGCAAACGTCCGAAAAAGATGGTTTGAAGCAATTTTCCGAATATAATCGTGAGGAAGAATCCCATGTTCATAAGGATCTACCATAAGTAAGTTATAGAGGTTAGAACAAAATGGGAAATCTGTGATCTACTTGTTGATTTTGGTAGGTTGATCTAAGTAAGAGAAGCACATGCGGTTTCCGAGAAGAATAGAGCTTAAGGTACACTATTTTAACTGATTCTTCAATTATGAACGTACGCGATGTTAAATAAAGGCCACTGCATACCATCATGCAAGCGCTGGATTTTGACAAATAAATGCAGGCCGCATAGAAGTTGCTCCTTTGACGGAATGCTGCCGCAACGATTGATAGGGACAAGAAAGTGCTAATTCCACCGTAAACCGCTAGTCGCACCATTTTAATGAGTTTATTATTTTTTTCGTCGCCGATGTTTCAAAAATTATATTGTATAATGAGGTAGTTATGAGGGAAACTTCGAGGAAAATCAAAGCCATCACCATTCGTAAAAAAAGCTAATTTATCATGCCACGTAAGTTTACAGAATCTCGATACCACCCACATGTTCCTTAATTATATTGGCCAATCATTGTTTTACGATTTATATTGAAAACTTCAGTGGTAAAAATTTTTGTGTAACTTACAGTATATGATATTTAAATACTATTCTTTTTGTTTAATTAAAAACTTTTGATAATAAAAAAATTTTTAAAAGAAAAAAAATTAATCAAAAAATATTTAAAGATTTTTTTTTATTTTTAAAACAAGTTATTATGGTAAAAATATTTATTATTATTTTTATTTTTTTAAATTTTTAAATTTAAAAATTTTTATTTATTTTATTTTATTTATTTAACTTACAATCATCAATTTATACAATATATTAATTATAATATTTATATTTTTGTTAATCTTTTGATCATATATAAAAAAGTTGTTTATATGAAATTATTATATATTTTTTTTAAACCAATTTGGAATATAATTTCAAAAGTCACTTCTTTCTACTAATTCTTTGATTATACATAAAAAAAATATTCACAAGAAGTTTTATACTTCCTTGCTAATAAGTCTTAATACTTTCTTTAAAATAACTTGAAGTATAACTTTAAAAGTCACTTCTATCCTTTCTCTATTGTCTACAAACCTCTTCATTTAAAAACTTGACTTCTAGTAATCAAGAAAAGTCAAGTAATACCTTTGATATAAATAGCAAGAAAGTTTTCAAAGGAAGAAAAACCAATTGTAAAGTATTTAAAGATCTTTCTAACCTTTGAAGCGAGAGGTTTATAGAGGTTTTCTATAGTAAAAAGGTTTAATTTCTCTCTTTTTGACTATCCTGACCCTCTTAGAGTTTCTATATTTATGGTTTTCTGAAGAATTTTGTCTACCTTGGTTTGATCCTAAATTTTGAGTAACACAAATCCACACCAAAGGTGATTGGTTGACACAAAACATATTAGTTTTTGGAATGTAAACAAGCTCTTATTGATTACACTCACATATCTCGATACATTATTGGTGATATAGGAAAGAAAGTTTTAGAAAAAGTGTCGTCTCCAATCATATATATTTAACTTCCAGGAAACAATTATGATACCAAAAAACAAATGATAGGTAGGAATAAAAAATACAAATCCTATCTCTTATAAAGTTCCTCAAAAGATAAAAAGACTTTCTTAGACAAAAGCTAAGGTCTCCAAGCTTCTATTCTAGTTAAACAAAGTTTTTGAAAAGATTTTTTTATCCTAATTAGGCAAACTCTTCCGTAATATGGTACTGGTTTCATTAGCAATAAGTGAATCTTTACATTGGTAAAAAAATAAATTTCTCAAACATTCTTCTTAAAGTCACTTTCAAAAATAGCTAAGTTTCTCAAACATTATAAAACTTAGAGAATATTACAATTAGGCAAACTCTTTTAAGAGAAAACTATAAAATAGAGCAAGAATCTTTTGAATGGCTTTGAATTGTATTCCCCATTCCTTTTTTTCAAGTACCAACTTTAGCAATTCATCATTTTTTGGGATAATTAACAGTGACAAACTGTTGACAATGATTCTGATTAACTTAGAGACTAATATCAAGCTACTAGGAGAGCATAATATTGTTTTCTAAATCTGCCTTAGAGTATCTAGTTTAGACTTAGTTTTGTTTAGTCTGAACCAGCTTAGTGAACTTCTCATATTTTTTAAATAATATAGTTCTTTAACTAATAATATATAATGATAAGTTAGTCACTTTGTGAAAGTCTATAAAATATTTAGATATCTCTCAATATCTCAATAAAGATATACCAAGGTGATATAATTATGGATTAAAAAATAATAATAATAATTCCAAAAGTTACTTTTATACTTTCTCTCTTGTTTACAAACTTATTTACTCAAAAACTTGACTTCTAATAATCAAGAAAAGTCAAGTAATATCTTTGATAGCAATGGTAAAAAAGTTCATAAATAAAGAAAAACTAATTGAAATATTCTTGAAACTTTGAACTATCTAAGGAATTTAACTATTACTAAATATAAAAATTTTAAGAAAAATATTTGAGAAACTTATTATTCTATTGATATATACTATAAATTCATTTATTATACTATTGATATTAGTATTATATTACAGTAGAGTTAGTCTAATTAAAATAAAAAAATCTTTACGGAAATTTTGTCTGATTGGAATAGAAGCTTGGAGATCTCAGTTTTTTTTTTTTGAAAAAGTCTTTTCACTACTTAAGAAACTTGATTAAGAGATACAATACTATACTTCATATTCTTTGCTTGTCTTTGATATTATAACTGGTTTTTTAAGAACTTGTTTAATTAAAAAATATTTTTTTTACAGACTTTTCTTTTCAATTATCAATAATATCATCAAAATATATAAATATAATTAATAGAAACTTGTTTACATTTTAGAAACTAATGTGTTTTATGTCAACTAATTATCTTTAATAAGAATTTGTGCTACTTAAAATTTAGGATTAAATTGAGATAAGTAAAATTTCTTAAAAATTTGTTAAAGTGAAAGTTTTAAGAAGATTATAATAGTTCAAAAGAAAAAAAATAAGACTTTTAACTATAATATAACCTCTATAAATCTTTTGTTTTAAAGGTTAAAAAGATTTTTAGATACTTTACAATTAGTTTTTCTTTATTTATGAACTTTTTTTATATTTAGTAATAGTTAAATTCCTTAGATAGTTCAAAGTTTCAAGAATATTTCAATTAGATAGATTTCTTTTAAAAAAGATTTACTAGTTGAAATTATATCATTTAGCTGCCAAATTATTATCAAATTTAAAAAAATTTAATAATAAAAATATTGATAAATCTTTTATGATTGTTACTACTAAGCATTAAAAATATTATCAAAAAATCAACAAAAAAATATTGATATACTGTGGCAAAAAATTTAACATAAAATCTGATAATATTGCAGCAATAAATTTTTTTACTTACTACAGTAAAAAATTTAACAAAAAATTAATACTATGACAAAAAATTCAACAAAAAATTGATATTGTAACAAAAAATTTGACAAAAAAATTACTGTAGAAAAAAATTTAACAAAAAATTAATACTGTGGCAAAAAATTGCAAAAAAATTATTGTAGCAAAAAATTTAAATTTCATGAAATTTATTATTTATTATTTTCTTTTTTTTTCTCTTTTTCCTCTTTTATTTACTTTTCTTTTTTTTGTTAAAGATTTCAGCTTGACTCTTTTAAAACTAGTTTCAATTGATTTTATCTTATCAAATGTTTTTTAAGATTTTTCACTTTTTTTTTCTAACCTAACTACCTTAAATTTCATCCATTCATATATTTCCCTAATTTGTTCCTTATCCTTTGAATACATTAATGATTTCTTATATTTAATAATTTTTTATCTTTTGAATTTAACTATTAATTTTTTATCTTTTCCTGTCTCTTTTTTTGTTCATATTCTAAAATCTCTTTCAAACTGTATATCCAATTTGGCAAACCTTTTGGTGGCATCACATTATATAAATATGAATTGTTACAATATTATTTACAAGTTAGCTAAAATTCTTGAATTGATTTTGAATCCTTTAACTATA